GTTGTTGTAAAATTAGTACCAACGCCAAGTCTACTAGTACTAGCAGTACTAGTATTCAGTTTTACATAGAAGATGGTATTGTGGCAGTTTCATTTGTATAAGATATTCGTGTATGTAGGCAATGATTGAGATTCAGGTGTGCCTCCGAAATTATCGTAATTAAATGACCGTAGTAACAATATGATGTTAGTGAGTGAGCGAGTCCACGTAATAACGTAAATAAGAAACCAGTGTCGCGTCATGATTGGCTGCTTTCTTCTCGTTACTGTCCGAATTTCATGCTCTATGCCCACAATTTCTATGTCTGCGCGGGCGCATTCTAACTTTTTGTTCGGTGTTTATAAACAAAGGTGGTGGACGGTGAAATTTGTGGCTGAAATTTTATCGTTATGTATAGGTTCGAGTACCGAGTCGATCAGGCGGCCCCAGCACACCGTCACTAGAGAGCAAATAGAGCGCGGAAATTATTTGAATTTAAAACGAACTATTACAATGCTCCATTTGTATTGAATCAAAATTCAATTTCCCTTTTTAGAATAGTGTTCCAATATTATGGATGGGTATTGGCACTGGCCACTTTGATTGAATTCATCATCAGAGTGTACTACCCAGCTAACAGCTTTAGTAGTTAGTATTCTAATCTTAACTAAATTTAATATAAATCAGAGTTCTGTTGTATTGTACAGGCTCGGTTCCAATTTGCGTATCTACAATCTAACCACAAATAAATATGATAGTTTAACAAAGATATCGTGGGAACCCACAGACTAACAAGCAAACATACACACAAATTAGTTACATGGACAGTTTAAAGCACAAGTGGACCGGTGTAACGAGCCTACATAATCGATACAGTACGGTCTAGTATCGATATGAATCGAGTTAGTGTCCGAAACGCGTGGCGAATGATACTGTCCTGAGAAAGAAATCGTTCGGATTGCATGACGACTATATGTCATTGTACTAATTACTAGGGTTGTCAATTTTCACAACTTAATATTATTATCTTCTAACATTTATGTCAAACTGTTGACCTAACATTTTTTTAAAATTAAAAGTGTGATGAATGTGCGTAATCTGTACTCGCTGTTGCTTTCGAAATCGCAATGTTTCCGATTTTTTGTAGCAATTATTCGTAATAACTCAATCAAAACATTACATTGTTATCAATTTGATATACCTTCCTTCATATTAAAGTATTGTGTAACAGAGCCATGATCTCGCACGGAGCCTCTCCCCAGGTGGCAACCCTACACGTTAGTCGCAGTCTCGTTACCTTACTCGATTGTTTCGCTATCCAACAATCGGTACCCGATAGTATTCGATTCATCACGGCTGTCGACTATTACCGATTATGTTCTCCATCGGATCGCGTCCGTGTTGAGAAATGTTAATTAAGTATAATGCGCGTGTCGTGTGGGTGTTGCACATTTACAAAAATAACAACGATATTCAATTACTGACATTGCTCTTGTGAAATCTATTCATATTGATTTAATCGACCGTTTACTTGTATGTCACGCCCTTATTTTTTTGATATTGTGGTTTGTTCAATGCGATATAATCTAAGCAACTAATGTAAATTTTCATAAAAAATACATTTTAATTACATACAAAACAATTTCTTCAATATAGCTCCCAGCTCCTGCCACATTGTAGGAATAGGAAGTGTTTTGTAGAGTAATACCACTGCACCAGCCACCCAATGTCTGCATTCACCTCGTTCAGTACAGAGCCGTGATTGTGATAAACACAATGCGGCGGCGGTGGACACAATACTTCAATTATTTCTCAAAGAACAACACGATTCCAATCCGGTTTGACTACTGTACTGTACACTGTAGCCAACTGATTGTTGCTACTTGTACGTGCGAACTTACTTTGTTTTTATTTATAATAGAGCGATAATTTGATAAGATTTCTAACGATTACTAAATTTAATCACTGATTTCCTCTGCTTTGCATTTTATCAAAATAATCCCGTAAGTTTATCTTGCCGATTATCTTTAACTTGTTTGTTTATCAATATAAAGTCATACAGAACCAGAATGCACTAGATATTTAAATGCAGAAAGTACCAGGTTGCCAGAAACTGTTGAAGATGTTTCTTTAGCCCTCGATGCATCACTGCAACTTTCTTGATAACGTATCAAAGTATACAACCCTAATTACTTTCTTATCTGCCTTACAATATAACTGTGGCTTTATAAATATATCAACTTTGAATATATTGTTTATAAATATATGGTAATTAATTAATTAAGTATGCCTACATACATACAGGTGCTGAATGATTGATGACGTGTCCACATTAAACAGTTTGTCGATGTGAATGCTATTTTTATATTAAGTGATGATTGTGGCTTATTTATAAAACAACGCCACAATGTCATATTCTCAAGGGGTTAGACAGAGGTGTACAATAAGAGGTACATTTAGTTGTGAATGTAGGAATAAATTGTTGATAGTTCAGTAAGTGCCAACACAAGAGTGTGGAGGTCTGACCAGCATGTGTAAGACATTTGCGAGTGTGGGGCTGTGGCGGAGTAGTTACTCAATAGCTGTAACACGAGTGCGCTGTTAATACATTTCGACAGTAAATCTATCAGTGTTATCGACGGCCATTGTTTCCATATATTATTTAGTGGCACGAGTAGCTCACGAGGCCTTCAGATCGCACAATACAATCAATTGTACCCGCGCCCCGTGTGCCTTGCTTAGCATAAGCTCCCTTGCTTTATATGTGCCTGGTACACTCCACGCTTAATCCTTTAACAAGGCGCATGATTGTTTCAAACCATTTATTATTTGATTGCAACTCAGTATTGCTTTCTTTATTTTATCAAATGATCAGTCACATCTCAGTGCAACGTGTGAGATGCAGCGAGAGTGAGATATGTATAACTGCAACGTGAGCTTACTGCAGTTTCGTTATCTTATCAGTTGTACAGTTGTGTTATAGGTACTGGCTGTGGCTATTAACGTCGTGTATTTACTTTACCGAACGTTTAGATTTAGAAAGAGATCAGTTTCTTAGTACGTACCTATCTTTACTTTTGAATAGCATCATCCGAAATGTAGATCTTGCCATGGACGCCACCAAAATTGTAAATTGAATAAAAAAGGTGATCAGAAGAAACGCCTAATATTAATTTGAGGCTCGCTGCTTTCTCATTATTTTAACTGACAACTGAGTGTGACTTAACGTGAAAAATAAACCAATCGAGACATTGGCGACACTTCGTCTGGCAGCGCAGACGAGCCATATGACCTGCAGCTGCCGGGTGCGCATACGCATGATGTGAGAACCGATGCACTGACAATGTAGAACATCCTGTAGTCTTCATAATCTCTTTGTATTACAAAATCCAATATGACGTAGGTCAAATATTTGCAAAATTATTAGAACGGTGACGTAAGTGACAAAAATAAATGTATAATTGCGGTAGTTTTATCAGATAGTAAATAAAAAGATATATGAGGTTAGTAAAAATACTGGTGTAGAAAGTTAAACAAGCGACTAAGAATCGTGATCATTAACACCATAGGCCCAAATATAGACAACGGTGGATCAAGTCACTGCGAAGACCCCGGCAATCCGCATGTGTTTAGGTAATACGCATGCGTATTCGTTATCGGCGCGTGCGTCACTCTCCGCCACAACTGACTGGATATTAGCTCTGATAACAGCGTTTATCAGCTGCACTCGTAATCTGCTTTCTTATATTGTTTACTGGAATTTCTTCGACTCTCACATTTTTTCTAACAAAACCCTAATTTTTGCATTTTGCTTTTAATAACCACAGTGCAATGATGTCACAATTGGCAGAGAAATTACGTACTTTGTTATCTCAGCCAGATCTATCTGTAACTTTACTATTCTGATTATAAAGTTGCTTGTCTAGTAAATCATTCGTCCCACGCTACGTTTTCCGGTTCGCGGTCGGTATTTGAACCTCTCTTCCTCACCGGATACATCGGTGAGAGTACCAGGCTCCCAGTAAACGAAGAAGATGATCGGAGTTATCTTTAGATATAATAAGTCAGTATGGGAACGATAGCCTGGTTTGAGACCCGGAAAAGGCCACAGTTTAAGGTCAAGATAAAGAAAGATCATTATAGCTGACGTCAGTATATGTCCTGTCTTTCTTATCATCGTCATCAAGAGGCGAAAGAAATATTAAACAAAATGATTTTGATAATTATATTAATATGAATATTTCAAGTTTTCAAGGAAATCATGCGATGTGTACGTGTGCTTCATTTTTCATTAATCTTGTCCTGCATCAAATTGTTATCTAAGGGGTTATTATTGTAGCTATAAAAGTCTTTTGATATCACAAAAATAATTGAATCAGCATGCTAAGATATCGCCTGTATTCATTCACAGAATCATCAAATTTAAATTTTAGGCCTTGTCACTGAATAAGAAATAGTACAGAGTCCTGTATAGTCAGTCATTGTTTCAATTCTTAGTAAAACCCCTACAAACCCTGCGCTTCTAATACTTTTGCACTGAAAAGTAGAATATTGTGATTTTTTCTTCCTAGTTTTTAATTTATGAGCATTCTCAATATGTGGCTCTATTTTGATTTCAAAACGGAATTAAGCAACAAGACAAAGACAAAACTAGGTACGACTTGATATTACCGACAGATATTTCACAAAGTGGGGCAGTGGACACATGTGTGCTTGTTATCAAACAAATTGCTCAGAATTTTCCTTCGAATTAATTGTGCCGTGGTATAATGACCGCGTATCTATTGCGGTATCTGTAATCACAACGAGTTGTCTAGCTACATATTGGAGAAATTAGGAAACAACGTAAATTGTCTATAGACACTTCTTTAATATTTTTACAAAAAACCGTTTATCCTCTCTTCCTCTTCTTTCTTGATCATTGTCCGTACTTAATAAAACAATAGCTACTTAAGTTAAACCTGTTTTGTGAAAAAAGTAATGCTAAATGGTGAATTACGAATGAAATTAAAACTACTCACCGTTAATAAGTAACGTGATAAATCTAGTTGTACTATAAAATTCGTTGTAGTATACACACGTAGGAACACATCACTAACACATGAGTCGTGGTAACAGCGCGAGTTCACACTGACATTCTATTTGTGATCATCCCTCGAAGGATATAAATATTGGCGGGATGTAACGCGGTACTCGGCCGGCGGCGGCGCGGCGCGCACTGTGCGGCGGGCGGCCGGTCCGTGCCGTACCGGCTCTCCTCCGGCCCGTACTACGGCATCTGGGAAAGTGGACGCCGCCATGCAGGACCTAACCAGCGGAAGGTCAAGTTCAGATACAATTTTAAGGCCAGACATTCAAGTTAAGACGCTGGCTGCATGTCAATCGCCGCGCCCATTATATTGCCCTGGTAATTTACTCACAACTCTCATTGTAGAACATTCAATTGCCTTCATTAGCAGTGACTGGCGACACATTGATTGACCCGTACGCCTGTCAACGTCGTCACGATTTCTTGAAAGCTTTAGAATATCGTGGCAATTACACGCAGGGTCACGGTAATAAAGTTATCTAGTTGGAATGTAGCTCAGAATACCGCTTAATAAATGGGTATATTATTATGTATTTATACAATTAGAGCAGTCACCACTAAGCATTAAAAACGCCAAAATGAAATGAAACCGGGTATATACCGGCCGGGTACTATCCGCCCACCGCCCAGTAAGATAAACATTTACTGATATCAAACAATTTCACTTTTCATTATGCACCAAAATTGGTTCCTTTCAACATTGCCCATCCACAGCATCTGCAGCATGTGAATCAATCTCGCTATTTGTCCTCTCACTCGCACGTTACTGTATTGCAGTAAAAGGAAAGAGATGCAATACATCCGCAGCGCGCAAGTCCTCACCCCTAGAGCCGGCAGACGAATTATTGCCAGGTTGGGACAATCAATAGCGAGTAATGCCGGGATGAATGGAATCATGGCGGAGTTACCGCGGCCCTTCTAAATTATGTGCATTTATACGACATAGCGACAATATCGCGGGCTGTGTTCTATGTTTTATTGTACTTTGCACGACTTTTTATGTATTGCTATTGTTTTATTATTGAGATGTGATTGTGTACTCGTGTGACGCGGCATTCACTTGATTTATTGTTGTTAAAAGTTAATCATAATGTAAACCGTTTAAAAGTATGTGTAGGATCAGGGTCCGACATTATTTGAAAATAAAACAAAGAGCTTCACACAATCACTTAGTTTATTTCGATTAAATGAACTTACTTTCACATTAATTTTTAATTATAATAATTGAATAATTCAGCACTGATTATATAAAGGAAACACTCAAATAAAACCAACAATAAAATTACTCAGCGATTGCGTAACGTGTGAACTGGGCAACGATCGACGAACGACTGACTCGAGCTTGCGCTTGCGCTGCTTTATATATCACTCGGTGGTGGGGTTGAAGTGACGTCGGTCAGTTGTTTGTTCACTGCTCGCCCATTACATTCGCAGTTTACAAAATAATGACGGCGGCGCCGACATAT